AATAACTTTCCGTACATTCGGGTTCGTGTCCTCCGCCATTTCCAGAGTTCACTTTATCAGTAGTAGTTTAAAGCAAGTTATGCTCTTGGCGTAATTTTCGTTTTCATTTATAATTATTCATTTGAAGGGCACTGTCAAATGTTGGAACAAATCTCTTGTAATTGAATAATATTTAGGATGAACAAGAAATCGCTTTGGTTATACACATTGAGTGAAATCTATTAAACTCTAATCTATTTTTCTTGAGTCAAAATCTAACTACTTATCATTTTGTAGTTAAATTTCCTTACTGTTTTATTTGCCAATTAAGAGTTTAGAGCTATTTCAACCATATTGGAAGTAAAAGTTCTAGATTATTCCGTTTTTGTGGAATATTTTGGAAGTAGGAATAAAAGAAGGAAAATCCGGAGACCCTTTCTTTCTCTTGAAACTACAATTCACAAGCCATTTAGCTTCTTAAGTTATAATTCTTTCTACTATCGTCTCACTCTTCAAGCAAATGAAATTTGAGAAGTGTTTTAAGGTGATTTCGCACCAATAACTTCCTCTGTGAACGAGAAAAAGAAATCTCACCCCCACTCAGACAGACACGAAGGTGCGGCCGTCCTACTTGTTGCGTGAGGAGCAAGTGAATTCATGAATGCAGAGATCTTTAAATACAACCAGTATTGTTGATGAGGTGTGTGTGAAAGACTTACCTCCACGTGGTGAACCCTGAGCAACGTATACTCATACGGCAAAAAGTCTATAACCTGGCAGTTGGCTTCTGACCTCAAACTACCATGACCCCACTGCAATGAATGTTCGACCACTTCCGCAGCTCCAATCTTAACTTTTGGTTGCCTTTGTGTCTGTCTCTTTTAACTCGATTAATAACTCTTCTAGTCCCCCTCTCGACTTTGTCTCACTTCGATGTTAATTTCCTCTGTGAAACTCGAAGTCAGCTAAAGGACTAATGAAAACTATCATTAACCCCCAATTGTATTTTGATAACTAAGCTTGTGCTAGTGACCATATGCATAAATAGGCGTAATTCATCCCATACGTTGAGGTAATTTAACTAATTGCGGTAGCAATTTCATAATAAGGAATTTGCCTGGTAGTGCAGTCATAACGAAATTCTGCAAACGAATGCAATCAAAGCATTTATTGCCTTGCAAGGTAACTACTAATTTCATTAATAAAATGATGAAATTATTTGAAATAGGCAAGCAAATCAATAGAAAATGTAAATGTTGAATGAAGGAGGCCCGTATTGTTAGAAACCAACATTTAGAAATAGCCTCTGTGATGTGCTGGCAGCTACCTTAAATGTCCCAAATGTATGTGAACTCCGCTCGTTAACTAACGCGAAGCTTCAATCAAATGCAAAGAGAGATGACCTTCGAAGACACATTGTAAGGAGACCAGATCACATAAAATGCAGGATGGGATGAATATTAACTTAAAACCGAAATTTCAGTGTTCCTTCCGAAATGTTTCAGTAGGGTTCGTTTCACGAGACATGCACGCGTGTATTCGACTTTAATAAAAATATTATAAGTCTAGATATTTCCTTAACATAAAGAAATTATTTTTTTATTTATTTCGAATGGCAGGCGTTTAAATATTTATCATTAACCCTTTAGCTGACTTCGGACTTCACATAGGGGAGAAACATCAAAGTGAGAAAAATTCAAGAGGAGGGTCAGAAGAGAGTTTCAAAGATGTAAAAGAGACGGACACAAAGGTAGCAAACAGGTGTGGTGAGTACTGTGGAAGAAGTCGAATAAGACACACAGTGGGGTGGTGGTAGTTTGAAGTCAGAAGTCAACTGCCGGTTAATGGACTTTTTTCCGTATGAGTATACGTTGCCCAAGGTGCACCACGTGGAGGTAAGTCTATCACACACCGCTCAACTAGTAAATAAAGGGATTGGTCCCGTTTGTGTTGTCATTCAATGCTCATTCGCCAGTTGTTCAATAATGATTTTTGATTTTCTAACTTTCACTTGCGATTGGCTGAGGAGTTCTCTGTGAAAGCTGATCTGTCTTATATGATAAAATTGCACCTTGTGAGAATGAGTAATTAAAATTATTGTCGATGTGAAATTCCCATATTGCAGTCTAGAGAAAAATGAATTCAAAGAAAACCTTTCGAAAAGAGCTTTTTTGTCATTCACCTAATAATAATAAAGTAATTTTATTCATCATATGACCATTCATCGAATGACCTTTTAATAATAATTTAAGTTGAAAAAGGTTTGTACTATTTATTTCGGTTTTTTGCCTAAGATTTCTAGCTTTCATCAGGACTTAATGAATTCAGTGAGTATATTGTGCACCTTACAGGAAAGTCGGGCCATGATAAATTCTGCTGTGTGATTGACTTACCTCTTCATTCTAAGTGAATTAATAATAAAGACGTTTTGATAATGACCTTAATTTCTCTATTTGATTAAAAATAATGCCATGTGAGTTGGCAGAAGAAGTTGTTCTTATTAAATTTTCCCCAGTGACTAGTCATGTGATCACATTTACGATGATGGGAGAGTATTACAGAGATGCTATTCTAATTAACAATGTGGCTTCCTGTAGACCCAAGTTCTCGCAATAGCTTTTCAATAAACAACTTTTTAGCTATATGGGGTGTGCGATAGACTTACCTCCGTGTGGTGCACCCTGGGCAACGTATGCTCATACGGCGAAAAAGTTTATTAACTGGCAGTTGACTTCTGACGGCAAGCTACCTTGATCCCTCTGTATGTCATATTCGACCACTTCCACAGTACTCACCTCACCTTTTTTCTGCCTTTGTTTCTGTCTATCTCTTTTGCATCCTTGAATCACTTTTCTGTTCCCCCTCTCGAAGTTTTCTCACTTTGATATTCCTCCTCCTCTATGAAGCCTGAAGTCAACTAAAGGGCTAATGATAACCATCGTAACGCCTGCCACTTGATATAAATAAATAGATAACTTCTTAGCTATATTGCAGGCTAAAGCTTAATTGGATAATTACATATTTAATTACTACAGAAAATGCCATAATTGCTTGTCTTTGCGTCTCGATGATTTTAGAACTGACACGAACGCTGTTATCGCGATCTTTGAACTTGGAGATATTCAGCGCTGAAATGAGGAATGCAAATTTTTTTAATTTCTTATTTAGCTGAAAACGTGCTTCTGCTCCATTTTGGAGCAGACAATTGCGATCATTTATCTTTTAAACAATCGTGAAATTTAAAAGTTTGTGATTTGTTGATGAAATAACAGCTGTTAAATTAGAAAAAATCTGCCATTTCGTTTTAATTCACTCTTTCTGTTTACTAAACTGGTCTGAATTCCATAATTTTTCCTGTATTTAAATATATTTTACATGATAATTGTTAGTTTTTTTCAAATAATTTTGTTCGTATACTCTATTTAATCAGTAGGGAAAATTTTAATTAAGCAGCCTAATCTGAACGATTTTAATATTTTTTTCTTTTTCTTAATCAATGCCAATGAAGTTTATATACTGATACATTTATAAGTGCCTCCTTATTGTTCATTTTGAATAATGTTCCTCTTTGATCTCTTTTGCACCTAAACTAATTACTATCACCCCATAACCAAACAACCAGATCAGAAGGTACCCCGTAATATGAAAAGGAATCGCTTTGTAAATTCACGTCATAAAACATGAATGTAAAAAAGGAGTGACCTTCTCAGTAAGTCCGATTTTCATGAATCTATTCCTGTGTCTCCAGAAAATTTAATTTGAATTTTATTTCCGAAAGAATATAATAGATGATCAAGTTAACTTGTGCACTTAATCCTCACGCTCATCTAGAACAGTGTTCTCCAACTCTAGAGATTTGCAGTGTCGAATTCTAATTACTGAGAATCGAGCCAGCAACCTCTGGCGAGTAACATATATGATAACCAATGAATCACGGACACAACCATCATTTCGTGTTACCGATATCTTCTTAGGAATGAAACAAGGATAACAATGATGAGTTTGAATTCTTACATCACAGCCCAGCTTTATGGCAAAAAACCAACCTCAAACTTTACCATAGAAATGAAAAATTCAATTACTTTCAAAATGCTTTCGAGATTATTTTTAAGTAAAATTACTTCTGCATTTCAAGTCGAATGCCGACTGATAGACTTTTTTTGCCGTACGAAGATACGTTGTCCAGGGTGCACCACGTGGAGGTAAGTCTATCGCGCACCCCAGTTTAGACTACGTACCGGACACGATTGCTTGGCAAAACACCTTCGCAGAATGGGAGTATACACTCAACCCACTTGCCCTCTATGTAACCTACAGGAGGAAATGGAGAAGACCCACCTGATTCGGTGTCCAGTCCTAAAGACAAGGACGGAAAGCCAGAGATACTAGGAAGCAAGAAGACAGCTAATGAATTGCTATTAGTTAACTGCTATAAATGTTCCCTCCCCACCCTTGGGGGAAGCTGAAGTTAAAGTTTAAGGGCTAATGATAAATATCATAAAGCCTGCCATTTGAAATAAATAAATAAACTTCCGCATTTCTGCATTGGAGTGAGTTGAATGAAACCGCTTTGCGCCCATCTCCCTCAAAAGGTCGTGCAGATAAGTTGATTTCAGCAAAAAACCTTGAAATTAATACAATAACCTATTTAAGATGACAAATTAATAATATCACTATGTATTCATTTATCTTTGCTCGCAATGCTTATGCATCCCATTTGGATACATTGAGACAAATTCAAACTTTGGCATCAAATAGCAACGAAAAGACTCCCAAGTACGTAGAGACAGCCATTAGCTTCAAGCAAAGAATGCAATTTCGGTTCATGAAGAGGAGGGGGGGGGGGCAGTAGGATATGTGCACCGCATTATAAAATAACATGCCTGGGGGCAAAGAGGCTTAGAAGAGCATGGAAGCAAAGATCATGGGGGAGGGAGAGGAAGGAAGGGTTAAACGGGGGAAAATTCAGTCAATATGATTGTCCATCGCCTCATCGAAACTCCCGCGTAACTGTAGTGGCCGCAGCAGCAGATGATCCGGTGATGGGGGTACGAGAAGAAATAAGAGTAGATTGAAGCACGGAAAGCTGTTTCCGTAGTAAACCGAGTTCTGTCTCAGCCATATTGAGATCACAACGAGCTCGCGCTAACTCTGCAGTCAACGCTCGCGACTTGGCCCGCTCACACACCGCTTCTGCGCGAGCTACCAAAGCAACAGAACGCCAGTGCCGCAGCTGTTCAGCAAGATTCTCTGTTGAAGTATCCGGAGTTGCGAATACGCCGCTACCACCTGACCCACCACTTCCACTACCTATGACTGGTGAGGAAGAGCCAGTCTTCTGTGCCTTAAAAGAAAAGGTACGTCAAGCCATGTTACTACCGAAATCTGTTGACTCAGTCTAATACCGCTTTAATGCAAAGCTCCGACCTGTTTTAAAGATGAATTTATAGGTGATTAAAAAAACCGGCCTGAAGACTTACACGAGAGTCTCTGGAAGAGATTTCCCGATCTGCGGAAGCAGTGCGACCATTCAGGCGACGACTGGGAGAAGTTCCAGTGATTGTCGGTTGGCGGCAGAGTGTAATCGAACGTCGTGACTCATGGGGAAAGAAAATAGCCCCTTGGGAGTGCGAAGTCGATGAATCTGTTAAACTACCTGCAATTAAATCAATGCTATTTGATACGACTGTAGCAATTAGGCAAGAATTCAGTCAAGTGGACAGAGGTTAGTTGCTACTATGAATATGTACAAGGCAAAAATATTAAAACGAGTCTAATAACGATGAAATTATTCGGTTACATTTTTAAATATTAATGATTTATATGGAATTAACAACCATTGGACTATGTTGTTAAGGGATAAGAGGTTTCAAGCTACACGCTAGGTCTATGTTAATGATGATGATGATGGGTATTGATAGTAGGGAGGGGGGAGGCAATGATAGTTAGATAATTGGTCTCACGTACGTTTGTAAAGGTTGAAAGAGGGTGACCGATCAACTAAAGGTTTATAAACGAAAGAGAGTTACAGTTTCCTAATCAAAACTGTTGGTCTCTATACCAAATTCGAACGAATAGCAAAAAGGGCATAATTGATGAATTATGGTGCTATAAGGAAAGAAAACTCAGAAAGGACAAAGGCAAGAAAAGCATAATTTGTATTGAACAACTACTTATTACTTTAAAGTAGAAAGGTACAATTCTCAAAACAAATCACGCAATTAATCAAAATGGATTCTATAAGTGAAACAGTACTCCAGGTCGCTTAAAGGAGTGTAATTTCAACATTTCCAAGATTCATCTAGAATGAGGGGATAGCACAGCGACTTTGCACGCAGGAAAGTAAACTACTGAGCTCAAATAAATGAGAGGATGAACAAACGAATTCGGAAAAACTACTCCACTTGAACTGATAATCTACGAATTCAAGCAATTAAAGTATTTATTAAAACAAAACTCGCCTAAATTGCTGCAATACCAGAAAGTCTGGTTTCTATGGCTAAGATCCATGTGCTAACATGTGCTAACGTTAGGTGGACCCGAACGATAAAGAGAAATAAGACAAGAGCGAAGTCGACTTTACTGAATTCAACTAATCAAATTATAAAGAAATCAACACTCAAATGAAGTGATAAAAGTCATCTGATCAAAGCCCAGATCGCGAGAATGCAAATCATGAGTTTTGAGTGGATAAAAAGCGTGTGTTTACATGCGCTACTCACCTAACCTCACAAATTATGATGAAATAGAGGGTAGAGGACACGTGTCACAGTTGTGATTTGGAAAAAATACTTTTTAAAATTCTCAAAGGCCGAGGTAAGTAAATGAGCGGTGAGAAATCGATCAACACACTTAGCTTTTCACTTAATAAGGAAGGGATAGAATACCAGCCCTATTCAAATCATTTTAGCAACGAAGAACATATTAATGGAGATTGATATATACCTTGGATCCCTGAACAACAGTGGTGAAAAAAACTATTGAACAGTGAATATGTAGGTTGTGGGTGTTTTCGACAGATATCAGACCTACATTGGAGACTGTCGATATTCAAGAATACATACCTGACTTATAACGACTAAAATGCAAACTCGAGGAGGGCAGAAGAGAGGCAGGTGCGACTTCAGGAGGAGGTTCAGAGAAGTTTTGTCTCGCCGGTTTTAGTGACTGCATCGACGAGAGCGGGTAGGGCGGATCAACTCTTTCAGTTGATCCATTTCCAGAGAGTGCCCTAAAGGAGACTGCAGCGGCCGCGGCACTACAAGATGAGACAGTGGATTGGGAACGATTTGGGACAGCAGTGGCAGAGCAAAGTTGAGCGAAATGAGTGAGCTCATAACGAAAGAGTTCCGTGTGGCGTCGAATGAAACCAGCGATGGTGAGGGTTATGACTGGTGTGACAGACATCTCTACATCAGGGTCATAGTCGGCTTGTCTGAGGATGTTGGGAGCGAAGACACTAGCTAAATTGTCCACGGTCATGCGATTTTCATCGGAATGGTCGGCAATCTGAATAGAAAAAGAACATCGAATTACCAGCAAAATGTCGATAAGAGACGTCTTAGTAGCAAGCTCCTCTTGAAACCTCCCTGGTGAATAACCCGAACACTGCTACCAAGATCAACGAGTGTGCACATTACTCCCATTGGATATGGAATGACAGGCGCATCAGGTGTGAGGTCTGATTTAGTGGAAGTGCAAGTTAACTACTGAGACACAGATTGCGTTTTTAAGTTCCAATTTTCTGCCCTCCAGAAATCTCTAAGTCCACTTAGCGAAGCGTTTTAAATATGCACCTTTAGTTCCTTTCCTTCACAAAAGTTGTGCAGAATGACTTCACATCTTGGGACATACAGGCACTAGTGTGATTTGGGGTGTGCGATAGATTTACCTTCACGTGGTTCACCCTGGGCAACGTATACTCATACGGCAAAAAGTCTATAAATCGGCAATTGACTTCTGACTTCTAACTACTATGACCCGACACCATGTCATATTACACCGCTCCACAGTACTCATCTTACCTTTTCCCTACCTTTGTGTCTGTCTGTCTATCTCTATTATATCTGTGAATCACTCTTCTGTCCCTCCTCTCGAATTTTTCTCACTTTGATGTTCCTCCCCTCTGTGAAGCTCGAAGTCAGCAAAAGGGCTGATGATAATTATCAAAACGTATGCCATTTGAAATAAATAAATATAAATAAATAAATAAATATATATATATTAAGCTAGATGTCCCCAATATGCTATATCTTTATCAATTTAGCAAACGACATTCCGACTGCATCATTCCAAAAAAAAACTAGTAATGTTTAGATCAAAATCACACCATTTTCAACTCCACCCAAAATGTGCCCAAACATTAAAAACTCATATTAGTTCCTATAACTGTGCCAGCAGCCTAATTATCGGATGAGAAATGTGCCCATAATCCCAATATTATAGCTCTATAACAATGAAATCGGTGCCGTAAATCAGGCTTTGATCCAAACAAAGTCGTAGGAAATCCACTTTTCCTTCTTTCCGATAAATTCAAATACTAAGGAAAGTAAATTTCACTCATGGAAATCTGATTCAACTACAAGAGGAGAGGATTCTAGCAGGACATTCCACATTACAAGGAGAAAAAAGAAATTAATCTCAATTAGAGTCATGCCCATCCAATGCTTCAGATGGTTGAGCGTTTCCCATGCAAAGTAAATAATCCTGCAGACACTATGGCATTTTATAAGTTCACGTCATTAAAAGTAGACCAACCAACCACTGTTCAATGTTTGCATAAATGCCTTTGATCGAAATTGCCTCATATTTACGCTTGACACGTTCAACTTCCTACCCCTTCCCCCCCCCCTCCCCACCAACCTGTCTGCAGGCATTACAAAGCAATCAAAGAAACTGCAAGTTCCACAGACTTAAAATTGACGCATCGACGAGCCAGATAGAGAACAAAGTGACTAGGTAGAGGCCCGCCCGCCCTCCCCCCCCCNCCCCCCCCCCCCCCCACCGTCGTGGAGAGTAATGACGCAACCTACAAAGGAACAACTACAATTCGGCCTCGTAGCACCGCAACTGGACACGTGCGCGCGACGGTGGAGGAAAAAGCGAACAAACACAAACTCAAGACACGGAAACATTGAATATGAATGAAAAACTGGGGAGTGAATAAGACAAAATTTTGCTAACTGCGCTATGAAACAATTTCTCCAACTAAACCACAGTTCGTAATAGGTTTTGGAAGCAATTAAATGTCGTTTAACGATTTGTCTAATAGATTGATCATCTCTATATTTAAGCAGTGGGGTGTGCGATAGACTTACCTCCACGTGGTGCACCCTGGGCAACGTATACTTATACGGCAAAAAAGTCTATTAACCGGCAGTTGACTTCTGACTTCAAACTACCATCACCCCACTCCATGTCTTATTCGACCCCTTCCACAGTACTCACTTCACTTCTTTTTCTACCTTCGTCTTTGAAATACTCTTCTGTTCCCCCCCCCCCTCTCGACTTTTTTCACATTGATGTTCCTTCCCCTCTGTGAAGCCTGAAGTCAACTAAAGGGCTAATGATAACCATCAAAACGCCTTCCATTTGATATAAATAAATAAATATTTAAGCAGTATTAGCAACGACTAAACTCATTGAAAAAACGATTTTCAGCATATTGCATTTAAAAATTTCTGGTGAAAATTTAGTATTTTACTATTTTTACCATAATTATTAAATTATATATAGTTTTTGTACACTTCAGTAGTTACACAAAAAACTATCAGTAATATAGTCAAACTGTAAGTTTTCATAATTCAATAGGGAACACGTCAGTCTCCCATTAACACTCCCATTATAAAATATATTTTCCCGAACCGGAGCGTGTCTCAAACTTAATCACCTTCTAGTTCATTAGAAAATTTTGAAATGGTCTCCATTTGTACGTTTGAACCTGAAAACTCTTTACAGCAAAGATTCCTTTGCTGCTAATTTAAAGAAAATTTGAGTCAAATTTGAGCACATAGTGAGGAGGGGGAGAGGGGGGGGGGTGGGGGAATCGAAGCACCCCCCCCCCAAATTAGAATAAGCTAGAGAGTTTTAAGGAAACAGATTCTGAGCAATTTGTCTGAATAGATGAAGTAGAAAGGTGAAAACAAGGACAAAAGGCGCTCTTAATGGGGGAGAAAAATATTTATAAAAAGCACGATTTCAGAAGCGAAAACACAAATTGAGTTTGGTTGGTATTTGTGCGGTGTAACGACAGAAAACAATGACTTAGAGTTACGCAACACTCACCTATTCATTAATGTAAGTTGAGATAGCATCTCATTGGTGCATTTTTAAGGACGACATAAAGACAAATAGAAGAAATTGAGCATAGCATGAGTAAATGAGAATTCAAGGAATGGTCTACACAAAATTACGCTGTGAAATAAACTTCCATTTTAAGAATCTAACTAACTTTCACCTGAAAATGAATTTAACGTTATCTATTGCTTTGCGTCCCAATAAATATACACAAATGAGGATGGGGAAGTGAAACAGCAGCAAAATTACGCCAATCCTCAGACAGTCGGTAGTAAAATGCTGTAGTACTGGGCAAGGATTGCGCAGTTAGCTGTCATAACTTGACAGGCTGAATCATCGCCAAAGAAATGGGGAAAAAAGATATGGGAACGCATAATCCCCAAGGCACTTGAAGGTCAGTGTCTACCGGAGTTCAACATGCACAAGAGGAGCTGGAATGCAAAGCTGCGTCGCCAATGCTGGTGCATTGTCAAGTCACTCATGCGATCTGCCCCCCTCCCCCCCCCCCAAAGGATCACAATTACGACTATAATAGCTATTGGTTCAAAGGAGGAATGCAAGGCGAATTGATTCGGTGTTACCTCATCAATGTATTGCAAAAATCAAACTATTATTGATTTCTTAAAGTAGAAGGCCGATTAGCAAGCAATGCAGCAATGAGAAGGTATTTTACTGATTTTTGAGCCAAGGAGGAATGTGATCGAATTCTTTTCATAAAAACTTAATAACTCTATTCAGCATGTGGAAAATATTCGAATCTGCCTCCTTGTTATGATGACATTCTCGAGGCACCCAATTAATTGCTCAGGAACAATGGATTGCTCTGCATACCAGCATTAACAAATATGATTGGAAAGGCTAGTAGCCGAATGTACACAGATTGGATTGGAACACATCACTGACGAACTTAAAATCCACGGGCCATTAAAGAAAAGACGTGGAATTGTAATTGAATTAATTTTAATGAGGGTTGAAATTAAGTGCAATTTCATGAAATCCCTTGGTCAAGCTCGAATTCATTGTCATCACCTGATTAACAAAAAAACGGTTGTATTGAAAGAATATGCTGGTCAAAACGGGAGATAAGGTGCATAAAAAAGCGGAGAGGATGGAAAATGACTGCTTTGCTATAATTTATTGGGAGACTGCTTCGAAAGTCATCTAAATCGACAGGAGCCCAACAAACAACGGGGGAGGGGGTAATCAACCCGACAATGATTTGATCCCCATGTCAATAGCACGAAGTCATTTTGGATTCTGATAAAATGCCTTTGGTTAGTGAATGTCCTTGGCAAACTGTGATCCATTCCTAGCCTTTCGTTCTTCCTAGTCTCTAGTGACATCTAGTAGACAGATATACACACATGAAGTAATTTGTGGAGAAGGTCTCCCAGTATCGATCTAATAAATACTTCCATCCACTTCCTTACCCTCTCATAATACTTAATCCTTTAACGCTTTTTGGACCGTACGGTCCTCTTTCAGCATAGAACCCATTGATACTAGACTCGTAACAGAAGGCCCCCTTGTCGTTTGAAACATGTTCAATACGTGTCAATAGCCTTCGCCTGATACACCACCACCACGCGTGAGTGTAGTTTGGTGCATTTTTCAAAAAAAAATAATTCGGGTGTTAAAGGGTTGAGTGGCTTTCACAATAAAAGCCATCCTATCAGGACACATACACCCCACCTTAACAAATACTACTAAAAAGGCGCATAGAACAAACTAAAACTTCCAATGTCAATTAAACCTATGAAAGCCTTATTAAGAAGGATTCAAATAGTTACGTGTCATTTACTGAGACAAATGAAATAAAAAATAAGGACAGCCAGTACCGAACTCAGATCAATAAAAATATACAACCGGAGGATATACCCCGCTCCTGTCGAATGTCGTCGTCGCATGGTAAATTGGTATGCTCAAATGTCAGATCACAAACCCGCCCAGAGTTCGCAACTATGCTCATTCAATAGAAAACAAAAAAAAAACAATTATCAATTCAATCATGAAAATCTATAAGGGAGGGGAGAGGGGGTGGGAATTAAAAATTGTACCATTCTGCTAGCAATCACTGACAGAAGTAGCTTTGTGTGAAAATAAGGTGATATTTGAGTATTCAAGAACGTGCCAATGAGATTGATAAACAATTTTGAATCGATGAAGT